AGATATGTTAGGTACATGCACCAACTTCTGCAATGAATGTAATCATTATGTACTGCAAACATATAGGAAAACAAAAAAGAAAAGAAATAAGTGGTAGGGCTGGGGATTTAGCTCAGCAAAGCGCAGGCAAAGCGCCTGCCTGGCAAGTGCAAGGTCATGAGTTCGGTTCCCGGTACCGGAGAAAAGCCAAAAAAACAAAAAAAAAACAAAAACAAAACAAAACAAAAAAAAGAAATAAGTGGTAGTAGAACAACTGGATATCCACATGCCAAAAACACCAACTTGAAACTATTCCTCAGAACATATACAAAAATTAATTTGATATTGATCCTAAACTCAAGTATAAATTTTAAAGCTTTGAAACTTTTAGTAAACATAAGAAAAAATTTTGTGACCTTGGATTCAACAAAGGTGTTTTTTTTGAACACTGAAAACTTGATCCAAAAAATAATAAAGTCGACTTCATCAAAATTAAAAACAACTTCTCTTGAGAAGACATTTAAGAAAATGGAAAATTAGGAAAGAGACTGAGATGAAAAAGGACTTGTGTCTGGAATACATAAACAATCAAGACTCAATTATAAGCTAACAACTCTTTTTCAATGGGCAAAGGATTTGAAGAGACACTTGACAAAGAAGATACACTAATGGCAATAAAGAAAACAATAACAACAACCAAAAAAACCACCAATCAAAAACCCTCAACATCGTTAGCCAGCGGGAAGAAAGGCAAATTAAAATCCCTTTGCATGAGTATTAGAATAGCTGAAGAATGACCACACCACGTGTTCATGATGATGTAGAAAAACCACAACTCTGATAGATGGCTGTTGTGAAGGTAAACGGGTGTGCTCACTCTGGAAAGCAATTTGATAGTCATAAAAATGTAAACATAAATTCTCTATGATACATTCATTCTACTCCTAGGTAGTTACCCAAGGGAAAAGAAAAGCACATATCCATATAAAAACCTGTACAGGAATGTTCAAGTCAACGTCTTTGTAATAGCTCCAAAGTGAAACTAATCCAAATGTTTATTGATAGCTGAATGGATAAAATGTGGTATATTTATAAAATGAAATTCTACTCAGCAGTATAAAGAACTGAACTACTGATATGTATTACAACATAGATCAATCTCAGAATAACTGCTAAGTGGAAGAATGCACACAAGAGTATTTAATATATTATTCAACATACATAAGGTTTATGAAGTCCTAACTAATTTAGAGTTACCAAAGACAGATATAAGTATGGTGTATACATACACAACTGCATACTATTCAGCCACAAAAAAAAGGATAAATTTGAGTCATTTATAGGAAAAGTGATGCACTGTGAGACCATGATGTTAAAGGAAATAAAGCAGACACAGAAGGTTAAATATTACATAATTTCTCTCATATGAGAAACACGAAGTTTAAGTAATTTAAAGAGCAAAACAAAAGATTATATGGAACAGAGGCAAGCCTTTTACAGATGGGAAGAGAATCTAGGGATAGAGGGAGAGGGATAGTGAGTAAAGGGAAGAAGAAGAAAAAAGGACTAAGATGTGATATGCTCACGTGCCAGCTCCCCATGGTGAATGTATTCATCATGTGTTGCAAACATGTATTAATGAAAAAGATTTTAAAAGGAAAGCTAAGTGATTGATTAGTGTAGGCATAGACGGGGATAGACAAAGGGACTACAAAGAGGCATAAGTAAATTTGGTAGTGATAGATGTGCTCATTACCTTGCTTGTGGTAGTGGTTTTAAAACTATATAATTTATATGTATTAAACTTCATTGTACAGTGACACACCAGTAAGGCTTAAAGAAAAGAGGACAAGAATAACAAATTAGAGATACTAAGAAGAAAAATGTTTGGCAGACAATTTTTCAAAAATAAATGAAGTGAGTCTATTTAAAGAAAAAAACTGAATTTTTGTTCCCAGTGATGACATCAAGCTTTCAAAAGAAAAATTAAAATTTTAGAGAATATATCTGCCATCATGAACTTGACAGTCTTCCATTACTCTTCTGATAAGACTAGTTGTAACATTAATGAATAAGATCTTTTGTGATTTAGAATGAATTGTGTCACTATTCAGAAGATGTGCATGACCTGATGTCCTGATACTTTCCAAATGACAGAAGCATGATGGTACAAAATCATGAATGGGTCAAAGATGCATTTAAATTGCAAGATCAAACAATGGGCTTAAATAACTATGTATGATAAAGCTTCTGACTCCATAATGCAAGCAACCTTTAAGAAAATATAGCAAAATTGACTGTAGTAGGCAGAGTATGAAGACAGCCTCCGAAGTACGTCCCACCTAATGCCTGGATCTATGAATGTGATTAAATATCACTCTGATAATTATGGTCTGTCAGCCTTAAAATAGGGAGATTATCTAGGTGGACCTGATCTAATCATGTAAACCCTTTTAAAAGAAGAGTTTTCTCTAGCAGTTAACAGAAATAGAAGTCAAAAATATTAAAAACCTTGAAGGATGTGGCATGCTAGTGCTGGCTTTGACGATGCAGAGATCTATGAGAAGGAATGCAGGTAACCTTAAGGAACTAACAGCACCTCTGCTGATAGCAAGTAAGGAAATGGGAAGCTCAGACTAATATCTGCAAGGAACATAATTCCGTCAACAGCTGAATGAGCATGGCAGGAGATTCTTTACCCAGAGTCTCTGGATAAGAGCTCAGATTGACATTTTTATTTTGACTTCATGATAAACTGAGCTGAGAACCCAGTCCAATCTGCCTCAACTTCTAAACTATTATGTGAAGTAATAAATAAATGTTGCTTTAAGCTTGACTATAACAATTTGTTATGCAACAAATGAGAAGCCAATACATTCACCATAAATCAAAATACACAATCCCATTAAGTTTCTACCCTACTTCCAAAGGATTCTTACAATGAGTCCAAATTTATTTATTTAGTATTGTTTACAAAAGAAAAAAGAAAATAAAGTATTAATAGATGAAGTACTGACTGGACAAATATGTAAGCCTACAAAAGAGAATACTCGAGAGCCATTACAAGGTAGAAGTATATCAATGACTATGAGACAATAAAACCATACTAAGTAATATTGAGAAAAAAGAATCTGACATTTATAATGATTTTTGCTGTAATTAAAAAAGTTTGTGCAAAATTAAGGTACCTACATTAAACATCTTCCCAGAACAAAAAAGATACCACAGTTAAGAGCAAGTAAAGAAAAAAACAATTAGCTTTGGGATATAGTTAGAATGTTGGGTAGAAAGCTTTCACTTATAATTTCCTACTTTTCATTATTACATCTTTAAATGAAGTATTACTCTTATTCATTCAAAAGTATCAGGAAGTCACTTGTTAAGTGTCTACATAAACATTTTCCTGGCTTTCACACAAAACAGACTTCTTCTGTTTTATTCACCTCAGATTTGCCACCTGGCATTTGCATCCATGCTCCTTTAACTACCTGTGATAAAGCGAGTCGCCCATTCTTATCAAGTTAGCGACACCTCTCAGATCTAAGTTTCTCAGGGTCATTCCCTACTAATAAGGGGTTTCATCTGCACCTATGTGAATATTAATATGTACTTATAGTTTTCACACATCGGATTTTAATAATGCTATTCAATTGTCAATATTTTGGACTGTACTCTTTAACCTTTTTCTAATACTGAAAGCTATGACAATATAGCTCATACAAACCACTCCAACATACAATGTACCTAACAGACCATGCTGTCTCAAGAGAATGAAGATGACTAAGAAGATGATGACATTAAGTTAACACTGGCAATATTCCAATAGGAAGCAAAGTGATAGGATGAAATGAGACCAGCAAGCCTAAATAGTATGTTATGGTTTATACCCCAGAGCCTCATGAGTTCATAGGTGGGGTTTGGGGAAGTGGCCGGATTATGGGAGTTATCGGATTGTGGTTCTAAAGAAGCACATTGGTGGAGGCGTGGTTTCCGAAGGTTTACCTCCCTCCCTTGGTCAATATCCCCCCTCCGCCCCCCCGCTTCCTTCTGCGCACCATGCCATAAGCTGTCTCACCTCACCATGCCCTTTTGTTGTGCTGTCCTGCCTTGGAGCCAGTGGACTATGGACTGAAATAGCAACAAACTGTGAGCCAAGATAAACTTTTCTTCTTTTAAATTGCAGGTATTTGGTATTGCATCTCTTCAATGAGAAAAGTGACTAGGACCTAGTGGAACAACTATAGAAATAATATATAATGGGCAATCTATAGTATTAGGTTTACTCAACATATTTAAAAAAATAATTTTTCATATTTCTTTAAAATGAATAATTGTAGTAAAAATGGAAAAAGTAAAGCAAAATCTTTCAATTACTAAATACTGTATTTCTAAATATTATCAAGATCAAATTATACCTATTTTCTATAGCAGGAAGACAGACAGTGAGAAATCTCAGAAACATACTATACAGTTTGAGGTCTTCCTTTGTTGTCACAAGTTGCTAGCCAAATGATCTAAAGGCACTGAAAGTCACCAGAAGGCAATACCGGGAGAAATTCCTAGACTGGGCACCTTGTTGTTTGTCCATATATGAAAGAGGTTTATAAGTGACCCAAAGCACCATTATATTAAATATATATATATAAAGACAATGTATGGAGATGTACTTTAAAATGCTATCCAAGTAGTAAATATACAATAGAACTATCAATGTTATAAAGTCACACTAAGTAGACTGATTTTTTTCTAAAAAGCTTTCACATATTAACATTATATATAACTGAATTCCATGTGCAACTACACTCAAATAAATCTGTCCCCCAAAAATATTGGCTGACATTTTCTAGAAAAAAACAACGATGTAGCCTTTAAAAATACTGAGTATAAGATCTTTGTTATCAGGAAAATGCTAAACAAAATCTTTGGAAACTACATGGAGAAACCAGAGAGATTAAAACTTTTAAAAAGTAATAAAACATGACATTAAAATGTTATCATGCAAACCTCTCAAATCACATTACCTGGAACAAGTTCCATAATGATATAGACAGGCTGTCTTTGTGTGCAAACTCCTATCAGTTTGACAATATTAGGGTGATCATATTGCTTGAGAATTCTGGATGAGAGAAAAATACAAGAATTCTTATCATTTGAATAAATATGAGTAAAGCATTAATTTATAATAATGAATAATGTATACAAATAGAATATAAGGTAGTCATAATTCAATTTCTAAAACGTTAGTATAACCCCAATTATGATAAGTGGGATGAATATATGAAAGTATTAATAACTATTGGAAACATAAGATAGGTACAAATGAGTTTGTGCTTCTTAATTCAATTAAATATTCATTTCAAAGTTCTCCACTCTGAGTGATTAATAATCATGTTAAATAGGAATAACTTAGTTTGTAAAATTATGTAAAACTCCCTTCAAAGTATTTGGGTTTATCCACTACCACAAAAAAATTATCTCATACAGCTAAATGCTGTAGAGAGTACTCCATTAGATTCTATCACAGTTAAATATTTGCTTGAAGAATATAATCAATTTCAAAATGGTAGAAACACAAAAATTTTGAGAAAGCAATAAATTTAAAAAATAACAGAGTTTCAACACAGGCTGAAGTTGAAACAGAAGACTTAGTTTGAACAAAGGCAAAATTTTATCAGAGGTTATAAAGGTATGACAGACTCATCTATAGGACTCCAAGTATAAGCTAAAAAGAGATTAGACTCCCTCAGAGACCTGTCCTGCTTATTTCTGTTGAAAATTTTAACCCTTATTATCCTACTGATACAGTTATAAATGTGCTCCTATTTGAACACTGTTGTATTCCTTCCTAAAAAAATAACTTTGGATAAAGACAAAATATTTTTACATGTATAGCTAATGCAGAGAAAGCTCTAAGAAACCCACTGTAGATTTACAATGTACAATGATTTATAAAAGAATAAGAAAAATTCTAAAGATAAAGAAAATATTCTGTCAATAACTCTGAGTGTCCAGTTTCTAAGAGAAATTAAGAGCAAGGTTTCAAAATATTTGACTTTAACCAAAAATGTCATTTCTTAGGTACTAAAGAAACTGCAAAAAATCAAATGAACTTTGGTAATACTAAATATCTAAATACATCTTTCCAGAGTCTACCAAAAGACACTCACAAGTCTAAATAAATTGTTCATCTTTGAGATAAATGTATAATTTCACTTTGAAGGAGAACATTAAACAGTGTACTTTGCAATAAAAGACTCATGAGTTGGAAACGAAAAATTTCAGTAGTTTTGAAAATAATATTAGACATGGACTTTTATCTTAAGAATACCTATGAACAACCATAGAATGAAACTGAGTTTCAATTGTGACAGCAAGTCTTCAAATTTATCATTAGAATTTTTCTGAGTAATAATAATGTACTTGAAAAGAGTACATAGTTTTAACTCTGTTTTATAAACTAATGAATGCATTCAGCTACTGTAATCCATTGCCACCAATATTCATTTTTAGATGATGAATAAAGAAATGAACATCAAAATGACCCATGCCTTGGGCCTCAGTTTCTTCACTGTCATCACTTCAGTTTTCCATGGCACTTTCTCTTGACACCACAAAACCTATGGATCTATGTATCCTTTTTCTTATCCATTCATTTTATCCATCTCAAACCTATATGCCCATCCAACTTACCCCGTCCAAAGAACTGTTCAATTCATTTTGTGTTTTTTAAATATACTATATTTTCACCACTAATAGAATTGTTTTAACTATCTGTAATATAGGAATAGCAAAGCAGGACATTAAATTCTAGCTAACAATAAAAAATGAGAAGAAAATCATCTTAAGAGACACATTAGAAAAGAAATAAGGAGGAGACATTGAAGAAATGCCAGACACTACACTGAAGAGATTTGATTCTCAGTAAAGAAAATAATATTTAGAGAATCAAAGTAATAATACCTAAAGGAGGTACGATATATATATAATTGTATATCTAAATGTATTAGTTTAGAGAACTCACTTGGCTTCTTGTAAAAATTTTATTTTCAATTCCTGAGGCAGACCTTCTTTACACGTTTTAACAGCAACAGCAGTTTTATCCTTTAATGTGCCCTTATACACTTCACCAAAATTTCCCTGAAATTACAATACATTCATTGTTTGGGATGTATGACAGCATGTAAATCTTTGCCACACACAGACACACACACACACACGTAATGAAGTGTTTTAAACTAAGTACAGCAAACTGCATTCTGTTAGATTTATTTCCTGTTATTCTCAAGATATTTTTGTCTATAACTGTCAGGTTATTAATTATATTAGAGAGAGAACATATTAGTAAATACACCATATGCCTTTATCTGAAAGATTCTAAGGCACTTATAATTCAATTTGTCCAAAACATCACCGTACCCATCCAAAGGCTGTTCACGGTTCAGTTAGTTTCCTTTTTTCAGTTACTAGAACTACGGTATCATTCTCCATGTGAGTTTTTAGTTACCACCTCCACGGTCCTTTTTGCCTTCCCCCTTGCCTCTCAGAAAAGCTTGATTTATTAGGATCTCAGTCTTCACACCTAAACTGTCCTCAGCTTCAGTTGCTCAACTCTCTAACATACCTATTGCAACAGTTCCAGGTTAATCTTGCTAAGAAAAAAACTTTGGTTATACAAATGCCTTGCTCAATATCCATCCTTTAATCACCACTACTTTCTACTCTGTCTAGTTCCATATCATAGCCCCAAATGTATATGTGCATTCTAAACTCAGATGTGATCACAAAACACACGCCATGCCATATACATTATATATATATGTATATTTTCTCTATGGAAAACCCTCACCTCCTATCCGAGAAAAATGCTTCCTCTTCTTTAATTCCATTTCTGATGCTTCCTCCTGCATGAAGTTTCCTTTATCTTCTAAAACCTATGTTTCCTTTTTTCTGTCCCCTTATTCTATCCTGCTTCCAAATTTTCTTCTCCTTCCCACTTACAAAAGCTCTATTTCCATTCTTCTTCAATTTTTTTTTGTTTCTTTAAATCTTTTTTCCCTTCCTTCCCTAACCCCTCTCTAATCTTTTGTCCCCCTTGCCATTTGAAAAAGTTCTTACTCCTTAATTTTTATCCTCCATTTTGCAACCACATTTTCTTTATCCATTCATCTATTGATGGGCATATGGGCTGTTTCCAAAATTTAGCTATTATAAATTGTGCTGTTATAAACTATAAAATGTGTCACTATGGTATGATGACTTGAACTCTTTCAGGAAGATACTAACAGGGAAAATCTGGGTTACATAGACCCTGTAAATTTAGTTTTCTGAGGAATCTCCATATTGCTTTCCATAGTGGTTGTGCCAATGTACACTCCCATCAACAACGGAGAAGGGTTCTTCACCCCCACCCAGTCCTGGCAGCATGTTACTGATTGATTTCTTGATGACAGCCATTCTTTCTGGCATGAGATGGAGTCTCAGTGTTGTTTTAATTGCATTTCTCAATGGCCACCCATGTTGAGCATTTTTTCATGTACTTATTAGCCATTTACACTTCTTTGCCTGAAAATTATTCATTTCAGGTCCCTATTTTTTAATTGGGTCTTTAAATCTGGAGGGTCTAATTGTTTTGTACATGTGTAATATACATATAAATCCCCCATGATGAATGTGATCATGTACTGCAAACATGTTCTAATAAAAATAAATTTTAAAAATCTTATTTCCTGTTTATGAATACTCATACCTCCATCTTTTGAATTTCTCTAATGGTTTCTGCCCTATATAACAGGTTTTGAAACACACTAGACATTTGAAAATTTTTACAATCATTTCCCAGAGCACTTGAACTCCATCAATGGTGATCAAGAAAGGAATCTCCAAACACTGACGAAATGATTACACTTCCCCCAGACCACCTCTTTTCCATGAAGAGAAGTCAGGAAGAAGGCTAACACATCCTGCTACTACACAGGCATAACTTCATCTCAGCTACTGGCCTTCCATCCATGGGGACAAATCTCACTAGGCTTCCTGTCTATTCTTCTGTGTCAGGCATTGTAAGAAAATCTTGGTCCTAGGTTAATCCTCAACTATTCCTCCCCACCCTCATCAGATTCTGCACACTTTTCTTTCATTCTTCTTTCTCTTTCATACCCAACTTCTACTATACTTTCTGGAATTCATGATCTGTCATCAAAGTTAGATCTTCAATCTACTCTTTGATAATCCTCTTTACCTTCTTGTTATAACAGAATCTAGCTCTCATCAGAGAACACTCAAATGGTAATGAGATCTCCTCTGCCGTCTAAACTTAAATGATGTATTTCCCTGTATAATCTACCACTGTCCAAGACATATAATAGTATCCTGCCAGCTCTTTATCAGCATCTTCAAACCATTCTCTCTTTTGCAGTGCTAAAAATGTCAGGCTTTGAGTGTATTATTCATTTCTATTTCCTACCATCTCTCACTGTGGCTGTCACCTACTGAATTTGAAAATACTTCTCCTTACTCACTTACAATTTCTATTTCTAGGTCATAGTCATTCTATCCAGTGTTGCTCCTGTATGAATTCTTGCCAATTTCAAACTTCAAGTCTTATCAATGCTTCAGATTTTCAAGTATTTTTTGACATCTCTCTTCCAAAGATCTTGTAATCCATTTATTTTCTAGAATCATCCCTTAAACTTTCATATTACCAGTAAAGCAATTTTATAACATCGATTCATTTTGTCTGGTTTCCATCTTTCTAACTTACTTCTTGTACAGTACTTCAAAATTCCTTTCACCTTGGAGGAATCTCTGTAGCCTAACAGTTTTTACATTACTCCTTGCATCACTTTTTATATATTACTCCCTTAATATTCTTGCCTCCTTTTGTATTCCCCTTAAGCCCCATGATCAGTAATTACAGCTGATTAACCATGTACTCTCCACATCTTTGCTTTTCTTTAGCTGTAGAACTTCCTAGACCAACAGTGGTGAACCTATGGTACACACGCCATAGTGGGCTGTTTGTACCACAGAACACTCTAACATGGTTCTTATCACTGCCCGAGGTAAATCTACAATCCTAATAAAATCTCGAACTACCTACTCTGAGCCTAAAGACCTAAACATGGCTGGAAAAAAAAAAACCAATATTAACTGATTTATCTTTAATATTCATGAACATAAGATGTTAGGAGGCCCTTACTTCATGAAAATAAACTTTAGGGCACTCAAGGCTACATGTTTTTCTACACACACTCACATTCCCATCCTTCCAAATGGCTGGTTTTCCTCCTACTCTCTTCTCATGTCTCCAATAATCATTCTGAGCTTGTGATGTTGCTTCCTACTTCATGGGGGGGAGATGGGGGAGAATACCCAGAAGTAATCAAAACAGAACTTCTGGATTCTTGGTCACAAATTTATTCACCTACCAATCTTTCTTGCTATGATAAAAATGGACTATTGTGTTTTTACTAAAGTCAATCCTCAACTGTGAGCTGAATTACATCCCTTCTTACCTACTCAAAGATATTGCCCTAGCAATTCTCATTTTTCTCTCCTGTATCATGAATTTTTCAGTATACCATTCACAACTGCAGACTAAGATGTTATTATTTCTCTCAGGTTAAACGACATCACAAAAATCATTCTTTTGCATGTCTCGGGTTCCTTTTGCAACAAAATTTTAAAGAGTTACATCCTTACTACTTCTCTCTTATTCTCTCCTCCTATTTTCCCTTACATCCCTTGAATTTGGTTTTCACCTAAAGTACTTCAAAAGGAAACTGCTCAGTGAAATCACCAGTGACCGCTTTGTTGCCAAATCCACTGGTTAATTCCTGGTCATTATCTCATTTGACTTCTCTGCCTTTGCCACTACTGTTCTCTCTCTTCTCCCGGGTAGTTTCTCCTCTTCTCTTCCAAGCTATCACAGTGCTTGGTTTCCTGCCCTCTTATTTGGTTGTTCTTTCTTAACCTCATTTGAGGGTCACTTCTCTTTTCTCCATCCCATAATATTGGAGTGCTCAGGGCTCAATTTGTGATCTGAGTCTCTTCTTTACTAAGACCCACTCTGTTACTGAATCCATCTCATCTTATGGTTTTATTTTATTTTATGTATTTTGTGGTGCTGGGAATTGAACTCAGTGTCACAGGTACTAGGCAAGCACTCTATCCTAAACTGCTCCTCTATCCTAACCTTGTAGTTTTAAATGTCACCTACATAACCCAAACAACCAAATCAGTACTTCTGACACAGAAATCTCTTTAAAAGGCACACTTAATAACCAACTGTTTTTCACCATCTCCATAGAGGCTAACAGACAAATTCAAGATATTCAAATGTGAACACCTATGTCGTTCTCTGAAACATATTATACTTGCAGCCAACTTTACTCTTTCTCTCAACCCCCATGTAGATCCCAGCAGAATATTTAATTGATTCAATTTCTAAAAATCTAGAACTCATCACTTTCACCATCTCCATGTCACCACCCTGTTCTAGCACATTTTTTAGTAAGTTAAGTGTATTTGCTTCCCAACCTTTCAACTAATCAGCCTATTTTTAACACAACAGCCAAAATGACTATTTAAAAACTGAAATCTCAACTACTAGCAGTCCCAAACCTCCTGTTTGTTTTTTTTTAACAGGACTTAGCACTCTCTAATACTGTAAAATTTACCTAGTTATAACGCTGACATTTATCTGTCTTCCCTGCTAACAAAGTACATACACCATAAAGGAAACGATTTTTGTCTACTTGTTCACCAATATATTCCAAGCAGGTGAAAGAGTGCTTGGCTCATAGTAGGCATTCAGCAAATATTAGCTGATTGAATAAAGTAATTATTGAAGATCAACTATTGAGCAACTATATAGCAAATACAGTCTGCTAAGGCTACCATGCAGAATAAAAAAGTCACAATATCTGCCATTACTTTAATATAATTACTAACCAAACTCCAAACCCCATAAGGATATGAAGCATGGTTAAGTCTCTTTAACTACCCATGCACTTTCCACCAGTACACTATAAATATTTATTTAGAAAAGGTAGTGAAATATTAAGTGACAAATCATGTTGGAGTATTTAAAAATATTAGATGAAGTTAAGCTACACTGTGTCTCCTAAATTATCAGTCTTTTTTTAAAAGTGATTAAATTTATTGAGACTAACATGCAATTTCCTAGACTCTGAGAAAATAATTATTCCTTTAAATAACCCTACTAAAAGCTAAATTCTAACTGATAAGCCATAGTTTATAGACTAAACTAGACATAATAATTGTAATATTTTTCTTTAAAATATTTTTCTTCACACTAAATTGTACCCCTAATATAGGCTCTTTATTTCAATAAGTGATTTGAGTTTTACAATTTCTTAAATTGTATTTTCGTGAAAATTCATTTCTATGTAGTAATTTTTTACCCTATCACTGCCTTTCGGTTACCTATAGCAATAGAAGAAGGAATATTTCCTTAAGAATTAGGAGACCATCACAGAGTAAATATACACATAAGCTGCTGCTTTTAGCTTGAGGTTCTTTAGAAGTGACTTACTAATTAAATGTATTAGCAGCCTCTAAAAATCTGATTTCTGATAGAAACTTGATGCTTTCATTTGGACACAATATTTTAAAATAATCAGTGTTAAAAATCTTCCAAAGTAGATTACTTCAACAAGGATTTATTTTTCTTCAACATATATTAGAGATTTTTTTAAATAGTCAATTCACTGAATTTATATTTCAATAAAAATAGTCATCTATTGCTTCACCTGAAATGTTGAGCTTTAATTAAATCCAGTAATAATTATTTGTTCCTTATGTATGATACAGTTCCCAAAAATATCTGGATTTTACAGTATTTTTCACAGTACATCATACAGTTAAACTCAGACTTTCACATGAAAGTACCCTAATTAAGTCAATCCAAAGTTTTACTAGACCTCAATTATAAGTAAAAAATTATTAATAAATTTGAGAATAACTTACTTTGATTATTAAATGTCTTCATTGTTAGATATAATATACTTTAATGTGGCCTATGAGTTGAAAGAAGCTTCCAACTCGACTGGAAGAAAAGAAATATCCTCTATATAAAGCTGTCGTCTCTGACCACTAATAAAGTTACAGAGTGGATATTGATACTGAAACATGTGGCTTGTCCATATTTTTTCAGAATGAAATAATATGCCCAATGTTGGTATATACTGCGATTCTATGAACACTTCTGAACTCCCAAGAAGCCGTACTTCACTTTTCTGAACTATCACATATAACCAGAAACAAAATAAGACTATTAGATATTTATTTAAACTTTTATTATCTCAGTTTCTTTACAAATCTCAGTTCAATAGTTTTGGTCTTATTATACTGGGTTTAGTCCTTCCAGGGGAAAACATACTATTTTTAAAAAACAAGAATTCTCCATATGCCTTTCAAAGATATCTGTTTCAGTGGACATCACAAAATTTGTACGAGATATGACATCGTGTTCTTACTAGATTACTTATAAGCTGCCTTACTGTGTGCTGGAATATAAGCAAAGAAAGTGTTCACAGTAGATATAAAAAACTTTGCTTATTTAGGTCGGTTGTCACATACCTTGCCCAGTAATTCTCCCAATGTGACATCTTCATGGTTGAGAATCCATTTCTTATCCTACGGCAAAAAATAAATAAATAAATATAAAATGAGGGGGAGGACAGTTGTTTAGTTTAAGCAAGAGTACATTGAGTACATTCCCTTTAAGATGCATCTGAGACTGTGGCAAACAGACCTAAGGGACATTTCATTGAGACAATTCAATCAATAGCGTACTAAGAAGCTATAACCTCAAGATGCTATAAAACAGATTTAAGCAATGTTACTGCTTTATAGGATATTAAAGTCTACACTACAGCATATGTCTTTCAGAAATCTCAGACTTCAAAATGACAGTATTCCTATAACTGGAAAATAGTATGTATTTTCATTTACCATAAAACTTTGGCTATGCTATTGTCCTTTCAAAAAAGTTCTGTCAGAAGTACATGAAGGAGTTTCATTTTACAAAGCAAAATTTCCAATTCTCCCTTGAACTTGGAGAATTACTTTTCTATACAAACCATACTGCTAAAAGCTAATTCTTCTACATATAAATTGGCCATGAGTTACAGATGTCTATGAGAGTATATGTAGCCCCAAAGCTTTCCCAGGTAATTTCCTGTGGCATAATAAAACAACAAACATCGATTACAATACTGCTAAGATGCACAAGACTAGCGATGCAAATATGCCATTATAAAGAGCATCCTATTACCCGCTCTGAAGAACCGATTACTACTTAGGGAATATGTTAGGGAATATGTCAGCATGTAAAAATAAATTCAGAAAACTACACAATACCATAATGTTAAAAAGGTTCAAGTATTATTTTGAAGGAAGAAGGAAAGAGAAATGAAGCTTATAAAAAGAAAAAAAAGGAAGGAAGGAAGATAACTAAGAAAAAGGAAAGAAGGAAGAAGAGGAGGAAGAGGCTAGAATGAAATGTTTTATTCCTGATTTAGATTATTTTTTATGTTACAGTATAGTTCTCCCCACTACTAACACAGATTGAAACATAATTGTGGTATAGGAAGAGATATAACAAGCAAACATCTTGAAATGAAAATCCACCATAAGTATGGTTTAAAATATACTAGACAGCCACTTGATCTATTTATCTTCTGCAACATTTTGTAGCAAACACTCAACTATAACTCTGAAAGATCAATAAAGGGACACTGGCTTTTTAAAAGCAAATGCATAATCTTTCATTCTAAATATGACCATTACAAGAGATTTTAAAAGAAAGCATATGATAAAGAAAGATAAACTCGAGGCTTTTATAGGTAAATGGTCA